ACCCGGGCCCAGATTCGGTCCAGCCACGGTGGCGGCGCTATTGTGGCCGTTCACGGCGGCGACGTGATCAGCTCCGCCGGAAAGTGGTGGAAGCTCCGCCGCCGATTCTGATTGCTCCTGAGAAACAACCTTGCTCGCGATAATCGCGCACGTGCTCTGCCATTCGGCTCGACTAGAGCCAACTCCGTGGTGGAAGCTCAAACAGTCAGATCTCTGCGCACAGTGAACGACATGACTCGAACGCGCCATCCTCGCCGTCGCCGGAGAAGCTCCGAGCATTGGCTTCAGGTGATGCGGAGACGACGGAGAAACAGCTTTCATGCTTCAGGAAAAAAAAAGAAAAAGAGAAACCTGGTTGGTTGATCAGCTTGGAACGTCAAGCTGAGGAGGAAGAAACGAGGGGATAAGGTCTTTATATACGAAGAAAAAGGCTGGAAACGACAGCGTTTTATGGTCAATCCCCTCACCTACCACCACCTCCAACTTCGTTTTTAAAATTTAATTATGACCTTATTAAACGAATTCGATGACTTATTACCAATTTAATTCATAATTAAAATTATCATGTTAAGTGAAAGATGCAGTTAAAACAGTATATTTACTCTATTTTAGTTAATAATAACTTTCTATTCTCATCTACAAATCCTGGAGTAAATGTCACTAGATATTTTTCACGAAGATTTTTTTTAAATAAGATTAATTAAATTTACTTAAGAACCCCACTAATTAAAAATATTATATATATTGCTCTCCAACAACTACCAAGGATTTAGACTTTTGAGGTGAGAAGAAGAAAAGATGCTTTTTGAATTTATAATAACACTAACAAAAATCCACAGTCCACACCAACCGCAATACTACAAAAATAAACACTAACATTAGATTATTATAAGCAAATATAATTATATAACAAAGGATGACTGATAATCATCTCCGGTGTTATAATTAGAGCGACATTTTTCCTGTGGATTTTAGTGAACTTCTTTTTTAGCTTGGAGATTTAAATGGTATCTCAAACGAGCCGGTTCGGACCAGATCATACCAATTCGTTCTGAACCAACTCATTTTCAACCCACCTCGTTAAGCCCAATTCTCAAACCAAATCACTTTAACTCACGAGCTGGCTCGCGAGTCGGTATCATATTTTTCTAAATACCTAAAAAATCATATCAAATTATACAAAATCATATCCTAATGATATATCAACATAAAAAAACATATCAATACATCCAAATCATACTTATATCCACATTCACGATCCATATACAAAAAACCATCTCCAAATAGATCAGATCGCAATCCATCCATGTACAACCAATCCATCCATATACAATCAGATCTTAATCCATGTACAAAAAATTATCTCCAAATCTAAATATCATACCAATCAATATCAACACTTTCAAGTTTCAACATAAGAAACCCTAAATTTTTTTAAGCCAGTTCGCGAACTGACCGAGCTAGTTCGCGAACTGACCGAGCTAGTTCGTTTGGGTTCGACTCGTGGTGAGCTAGCTCACTCGGCCTGTTTTTTATTCGGATTCAGATATTCTTGACTCGGCTCGATAAAAAAGGAGCCAACCTCGAGATAGCTCGCGAGTTCGAGTTCGGTTCGTTTTGACATCCTTACTGATACCTATCTCTATTTTGTTTTTTTATTATACATAAAATTAGACATTCATTACAGAATATATATATATATATATATATATATATATATATTGGATATTTATTTTAATAATTTAGTGGTATTCTTTTATTTTTTTTATAAAATCCAATTTTTAATTGAAAATTATAAAAAAGGTAAAAAAAAAAATTTGATTGAATTATTATATTTCAGTTATCTACTAAAATCAAAATAATAATTTTAGAAAATCATTTACGTTTTCAAATTATATAAAAAAATCTGTTATTTAAGGTATACATATATTCACAGACGCCCCCTTTTCAGGACCAAATAAAAAGCCTCTAACAAAAAAAATCCAATTTAAAAATAAATTATGGAATTTAACGAAAAAATATCTAAATATTTTTTCTACATCTACCAACCTCTTATATAAACTATGAAGGAACTCTCAAGTTTATCATGAGAGGAAAATAAATAACAAATAAAAATTAGAAAATATAAAATAATTGTCTCAAATTGAATATATTCAATTTACGACGACACTCTTTTGTGGCATTTTTCCCTTTCAAAATCGTCAAAAAATAAAAAATAAAAAATCAAGTTGGATGGGTGAAGGTGGTCCTCTATAAAGTAGGTGAGAAATAAGGTGGGAACACTTATTGTGTTTTCATTCTCCTGTGGATTTTGGAATCTTTAATTTGTATATATATATAAATTTAGTTTTTGAATATTAAAAACGTAATTACAATTTTTTCTCTCTCTCCAAAACTCCTATATATGACTTAAGTCGTCATATACTAATATTATATAATTCCATCATACGAAAATTTCAATATGATATGATCATTTACAAGGGCAAGAAGCCAACTCTGAAATTCTCCTATGAATTGAAACATATAATAATATTTCATTGATTACCCAACAAATAAAAAGCCAAAAAAGGAGTGGCTTAGATACAAAAGCATTGATCATAATCTACAACTTACAACAGCAACTAAACCTTCTTGTCTTTACCCTAATCATCCAAAAAAAAAACTCTCCAATGGACAAACTTGTGACCCAAGAAACGTCCCACGGTGTTGAAAGCTTCTGAGAGAGAGACAACAAAGGGAAAGAAAGAAGAGGTTCTCATCTAAGTATTTACCCATTTAAGCTTTGTAAGAGACTTACACCAAGTTTCTCTCTTTGTAAGCCTCAGAGGCCAACCCATTTGACCCATCTGAAAAACCGACCAACCCGGAATGGCAGCTCGTAGTCTTTGGCGAGGGCGGGTTCTCTCGTGGCAGCCTCGTGATCAGACCAGACATAAACTCTGCGTTCTTGCTTGCTTCCCGGGACTGTGTTGTCTAAGATTACGGCCACGATGAAAGCAATGACCATATTCATCGATAGGACCGTGTTCATAACGTAGTTCACCTGCAAAGAAAAAAACATGAAAAAATGTTGTCTGAACAATGAAAAGCTTCATCGAGTGACCTGAATCTCTTGTGGTTAAAACTTGCAGTGATCATTTCACATATAATTGGAGGATCAAAAGCTAACCCTTTTCACTAGACTCTCTTTGGGCCAATTCATTAATCAGAGGCATCGGCAAATTTACACTGGCAAAGGCAACAAAAAAACACCCGACAGTTATGTCAAGGTGTTGCATCAAACTTCACTGGACCAAACATGCCAGTGAAGGGAATAAGCTGATGACCATATCTAATTTCTGTTGGCCAACCATTGACAGCGACAGCGACAGTGACCAAACACTTCATAGCGGGCAACTGAACAAATTTTTACCGGTTTCAGAACCACAGGAACAAAAGGCATGAAACCCGAGTCAGCAAGACAAGGGATTTGTTGTTTGTCCTTATATAGCAAGCACCCTAAGAAAAATGGATACATACCCCATTATATTGGCTTCTGAGTGGTCCATGAGAAGCCACGATATACGGTTGGTAATAACTTGGAACGACATCTTCGAGTTTGGAGATAAGCCATACTGCTGGAAGTAGGCTGGGACAGAAAGAGAGAAGAAGAGCAACGACCCGACAATGATGATATTCCGTGAACTTCCAGCTTCACTATAACGTAGATTGGACAGACCTAAAGCCGTAAGCATTGCCCACATAAAGCAAAGAAGGGAAGCAACCATGACTTGAGGAATCGATGCAATAAAGACTCCAACTTTACCTGTGGGATATCAGAAGTTTTAGTTATATTGCGAAAAAGAGACAAGGGATGAACTCACATCTAATTTATACGTATAGTATTTTTCAGGTTCTGTTCCGCAGAGAACAACGCAAGCTAAAACGGTATTAAACAATATCAATGGTGACTTACCAACAAGGGAAAAGAACCACACGTTCCAGTAGGAGCAGCTTCATCTTCATAATAGTGTACCTGGTTTAAAGAACACCAAGAGTTAGCACCACCATTCTAATCTCATCCATGAAATTCGGGAATATTTCTCGAGAATAAAGTAAAAATAACCTCGCAGGGGAAAGAAGAGCACCAAAACTAGATGAAATTAACTAAAAAATGTGAAATCAGAGAAGGTAATATCGGAAAACAGTTTACGTTAACACCAGCTTCAGTGGCATTCTTCTTCATTTCCTCTCCGTACCTGTCCTTTCCAATAGATCCCATATAACTAGTTGCCCCGGGGATTTGAAGCATCCACTGCAAAAGGGCAAAGACATCATTAGTCTGGCAACTGCACTTCTTTGCTCCAAGGAACATGAAAAAATCACATATAAAGAACGTACTTGGGCCACTTTGATCGAGTTCTGGGTAGCACCTGGAAAAAAGAGAGAGAATCAAGAACAGGAAGACATCAAAATCTTGCCATTACATATCCATCGAAAGCATAACACCAATGTGAGAGAATATTAAAGATAAGTTACCTCCGGCAATGTATTCAACATTGTCCAAGCGGTTCATTTCCTCGTACCTAGGAAAAATACCCTTTTCATGAGAGATTACATACCTGAGCTGACAACTAGATAGCTAAACACATGCACCCAACTCCAGGCTCTTCTGCTCCCCATTTTGGTCACCGCAATTGTATGCACATTTTCAGTAACGGAGGTCGAACCCGTACCTGTACCCCAAGACCGGCTAAGAAAATTGTCAGACCTTCGAGACCGATTACTCGGCTCACAACACTGGGAGTTGGAGGCCTGGATGCTACTAGCAGAGAAGAAACATGATATGAACCAACCTAACATAGTAAAACACGAAAACAAACAGGAATAAAAGAACAGGCTTTTTGGATGAAGGTAGTTATGGGCAAGGTAAACTCACTAACTCAGCATGGACTAAAGGAACAGAGAAAACACTAACCGAGTCTACAGAAGCAATTATGGAAATCAAGCACATAACAAGAGCCATTTTCCAGTTGAAAACTGGGGTACCCCATTGTAAGGGGTAGGGAAACCTAAACCAGGGGGCGGATCTCAATGCATGAGAAGTATCAACCCGGCAGTATTTCATTCTAGACACATGTTTTCTGCAGGGATTCGACACTATGTTCGAGGCCGGAATGTTCGGATCACAGCTCTTGTAACTGTACTCTCCAGCTGCTGTCAAAAGAAATGCGGCTGCCCATGTGATTGCCAGCCCCAACGGAACCTGTCAGTAATAAACTAATTGATCAGTCACCGAGGAAGGAAAAGGGAGATGTGATTGGTTGGAGATCTATTTTCTCAATCCTCCTTTCTCTATCAGAAGAGGCGTTAAGTAGTTGGTTTATCTAATAGAAATAGGCCTCAATGGTTATTGTCATATTGAGCAATCTCACCTGAATTCAGCCAGTGGTTATTATTTCATAGCAGTACATTATTCGGGTAAAAGCCAATGACTGGGCCTGAAACCTTAACTTACCGCATAAATAAGGAAAACTCGATGACCCAAAACCGAGATCTTCCAGAGGTACTGCATAGATATTTGAATCAAACTTGTCAAGTATCATTCACATTATCATGAAGCAACTTGGTAATGTGACATGATATGATAAGTTTACCTAACTTGAAAGAATAGAAGAATAAAACACTATAACCAGATAAAATCAATCTGTGTGGACAGTCTACCTAGAAAGATGCTTAATTCAGCAGGTTTACCGTGCGATCTCAAAAACTTACAAGAGCAAAAATAACCACCAGCAGTATCTGCATAGCTCCAATCTCAATACATTTACCAACAAGCAGGAAACCGTAGCTGAAAAAGGAAAGTCCAACCGCAGCTACCGTTGGGGCAATAACTACTGGATTGAGCAACCTGGGTGAAGGAAAAAGAATTGCAATATATAAATACAGTAACGGGCATAACTACTGAATGAAATATAGCTAGAAGGTGCCGGCTTCTGTAAGAAAACAAAAAATATTAAGGATTGTACTTCAAAAACAGTGACATCAGGCCACTATATCCAAGAATTGCTTGAAAAGCTGAACCAAATATGATAGCACCTTGAAGTTCCCTCATAATATGCTTGAAGTTCTGTCATATTTACCAAAGTACAGCACTTTGATGTCAACCGTTCAAAGGTTAGAAAGAGAATCATAAGTTAAACCCAGAGGAAAAACCCACTTGGAAAAATACATGGAAAAACCCACTTGGAAAAGCTTGTGACATTTCTAAACTTAGCCATAGTTGAGGGATAGAGCAAAAACATACTAACATACACAACTTGAGAAACAGAATTTGTCATCTACTATGTGTCATGCGGTATCTTTCCAATGGTTAGCCCTAGCATGAGACTCGGAAAAAGTTGCCTCGAAATTTGAAGGAGAGCTACAAAATGACAATTTTGAGAAACCTTTACACCATATAAGTCAGGGAATTACATGCCTTACTATTGACCAGACAACCAGATTAACTATTGGCTTCTTACATGTACACAGTACACAACATCTACAACTATATTTGCATTTGTATAATATCATCAAACGAAATGATTCGAAGACTGAAGAAACAAATAACATGGGGAATACAGGGAACGTCATGAAAAAGTTACATGTTTTCACATACACATATGTAAAAGATCGCACTTACATTTCCAGTAAGTCCTTGGAATTCCGGAGAGTTTACAATTGCCAAAGCGGGAGCCAGGAAAACAAAGGAAGGACCCTGTATCAGAGGTAGCCTCGACCCAAATGAAGTATGCAATAAAGTCTTGATGCCACACGAAGAGTACCGTGGAGACCACATTTGCTATGTCTTCCTATATATACACCGTTATATGATCCCATACACTCAAAAAACTAAACTATTTCATAACATGTATAAGCATTAATCTAAAATGATAAGAGAGAAAGGCCAAGGATCACTTACTTGAGAACCACAAATTACAGGTTTTTCATTATGTTTCGGGACATGTAACAGATAACGTTCTCATTCCAGTGTCTATTTAGCCATTATATCAATAGAACAGACCCTGTATTTGCAACTCATTTGATAATACAGGTTTTTCATTATGTTTCGGAACATGTCACAGATAGCGTTCCTATTCGAGAGTCTGTTAAGCCGTTATTCCCAATAGAAAACAGACCATTGCATTATGTTTCGGGACATTTAACAGATAGCGTTCCCATTCCAAGGCCTGTTTAACCATCACATCATTCTCGATAGAACAGACCCTGTATTTGCATCTCATGATATTACAGGTTTTTCATTATGTTTCGGGCCATGTAACAGATAGCGTTCCTATTTCAGAGTCTATTTAGCCATTATTTCAATAGAATAGACCCTGTACTTACAACTCATTTGATAATACAGATTTTTCATTATGTTTCGGGACATGTCACAGATAGCGTTCCATTCGATGGTCTGTTTAGCCATTATTCCCAATAGAAAACAGACCATCTCATTTGAGAATGCATATTTTGCATTATTTTTCCCGACAATTAACAGATAACGTTCCTATTCCAAGATCTGTTTAGCCACCATATCCTTCCCGATAGAACAGACCCTGTATTTGCATCTCATTTGAGATTACAGGTTTTTCATTATGTTTCGCGACATGTAACAGATAGCGTTCTCATTCCACGGTCTATTTAGCCATTATATCAATAGAAGAGACCATGTACTTGCAACTCATTTGATAATACAAATTTTTCATTGTGTTTCGGGACAGCCACAGATAGCGTTCCATTCGATGGTCTGTTTAGCCGTTATTCCAAATAGAAAACAGACCATCTCATTTGAGAATGCATACTTTTGCATTATTTTTCGCGACAATTAACAGATAGCGTTCCTATTCCAAGATCTGTTTAGCCATCGTATCCTTCCCGATAGAACAGACCCTGTATTTGCATCTCATTTGAGATTATAGGTTTTTTATTATGTTTTGGGACATGTAACAGATAGTGTTCTCATTCCCGGGTTTATTTAGCCGTTATATCAATAGAACAGACTCTGTACTTGCAACTCATTTGATAATACAGGTTTTTCATTATGCTTCGTGACATGTCACAGATAGAGTTCCCATTCGAGGGTCTGTTTAGCCGTTATTCCCAACAGAAAACAGACCATCTCATTTGAGAATGCATACTTTTACATTATGTTTCGGGATATTTAACAGATAACGTTCTCCATTCCAATGTCTGTTTAGACATCATATCATTCCCGTTAGAACATACCATGTATTTGCATTTGAGATTACAGGTTTTTCATTATGTTTCGGGACATGTAACACATAGCGTTCCCATTCCCGTGTCTATTTAGCCATTATATCAATAGAACAGACCATGTATTTGCAACTCATTTGATAATACATGTTTTTCATTATGTTTCGGGACATGTAACAGATAGCGTTCCTATTCGACGGTCTGTTTAGTTGTTATTCCCAATAGAAAACAGACCATTGCATTATGTTTTGGGACATTTAACAGATAGCGTTCCCATTCCAAGGTCTGTTTAGCCATCATATCATTCCCGATAGAACAAACCATGTATTTGCATCTCATTTGATATTACAGGTTTTTCATTATGTTTCGGACCATGTAACAGATAGCGTTCCTATTCTAGCGTCTATTTAGCCATTATTTCAATAGATTAGACCTTATACTTGCAACTTATTTGATAATACAGATTTTTCATTATGTTTCGGGACATGTCACATATAGCGTTCCATTCGATGTTCTGTTTAGCCATTATTCCCAATAGAAAACAGACCATCTCATTTGAGAATGCATATTTTGCATTATTTTTCGCGACAATTAACAGATAGCGTTCCTATTCCAAGATCTGTTTAGCCACCATATCCTTCCCGATAGAACAGACCATGTATTTGCATCTCATTTGAGATTACAGGTTTTTCATTATGTTTCGCGACATGTAACAGATAGCGTTCCCATTCCACGGTCTATTTAGCCATTATATCAATAGAACAGACCTTGTACTTGCAACTCATTTGATAATACAGGTTTTTCATTATGTTTCAGGATATGTCACAGATAGAGTTCCCATTCGAGAGTCTGTTTAGCTATTATTCCCAATAGAAAACAGACAATCTCATTTGAGAATGCATTCTTTTGCATTATGTTTCGAGACATTTAACAGATAGCGTTCCCATTCAAGATCTGTTTAGACATCATATTATTCCTGTTAGAACACACCCTGTATTTGTATCTCATTTGAGATTACACGTTTTTCATTATGTTTCATGACATGTAACAGATAGCATTCCCATTCCAGGGTCTATTTAGCCATTATTTCAATAGAATAGACCCTGTAATTGCAACTCATTTGATAATACTTATTTTTCATTGTGTTTCGGGACAGTCACAGATAGCGTTCCATTTGATGGTCTGTTTAGCCGTTATTCCCAATAGAAAACAGACCATCTCATTTGAGAATGCATACTTTTGCATTAATTTTCGCGACAATTAACAGATAGCGTTCCTATTCCAAGATCTGTTTAGCCATCATATCCTTCCCGATAGAACAGACCCTGTATTTGCATCTCATTTAAGATTACAGGTTTTTTATTATGTTTCGCGACATGTAACAGATAGCGTTCCCATTCCACGGTCTATTTAGCCATTATATCAATAGAACGGACCCTGTACTTGCAACTCATTTGATAATACAGGTTTTTCAATATGTTTCAGGACATGTCACAGATAGAGTTCCCATTCGATGGTCTGTTTTGTCGTTATTCCCAACAGAAAACAGACCATCTCATTTGAGAATGCATACTTTTGCATTATATTTCGGGACATTTAACAGATAGCGTTCCCATTCCAAGGTCTGTTTAGACATCATATCATTCCCGTTAGAACAGACCCTGTATTTGCATCTCATTTGGGATTACAGGTTTTTCATTATGTTTCGGGACATGTAACAGATATCGTTCCCATTCCAGTGTCTATTTAGCCATTATATCAATAGAACAGACCATATATTTGCACTCATTTGATAATACAAGTTTTTCATTATGTTTTAGGACATGTCACAGATAGAGTTCCCATTCGATGGTCTGTTTAGCTGTTATTCCCAACAGAAAACATACCATCTCATTTGAGAATGCATACTTTTGCATTATGTTTCAGGACATTTAACAGATAGTGTTCCCATTCCAATGTCTGTTTAGACATCATATCATTTCCGTTAGAACATACCCTGTATTTGCATCTCATTTGAGATTACAGGTTTTTCATTATGTTTCGAGACATGTAACAGATATCGTTCCCATTCCAGTGTCTATTTAGCCATTATATCAATAGAACAGACCCTATATTTGCAACTCATTTGATAATACAAGCTTTTCATTATGTTTCGGGATATGTAACAGATAGCGTTCTCATTCGAGGGTCTATTTAGTCGTTATTCCCAATAGAAAACAGACCATTGCATTATGTTTCGGGACATTTAACAGGTAGAGTTCCCATTCCAAGGTCTATTTAGCCATCATATCATTCCCGATAGAACAGACCATGTATTTGCATCTCATTTGATATTACAGGTTTTTCATTATGTTTCGAGCCATGTAACAGATAGCGTTCTCATTCCAGGGTCTATTTAGCCATTATTTCAATAGAATAGACCTTGTTGTACTTGCAACTTATTTGATAATACAGATTTTTTATTATGTTTCGGGACATGCCACATATAGCGTTTCATTCGATGGTCTAATTAGCCATTATTCTCAATAGAAAACTGACCATCTCATTTGAGAATGCATATTTTGCATTATTTTTCGCGACAATTAACAGATAGCGTTCCTATTCCAAGATCTGTTTAGCCACCATATCCTTCCCGATAGAACAGACCCTGTATTTGCATCTCATTTGATATTACATGTTTTTTATTATGTTTCGCGACATGTAACAGATAGCGTTCCCTTTCCACGGTCTATTTAGCCATTATATCAATAGAACGGACCATGTACTTGCAACTTATTTGATAATACATGTTTTTCATTATGTTTCGGAACATGTCACAGATAGAGTTCCCATTCGAGGGTCTGTGTAGCCGTTATTCCCAACAGAAAACATACCATCTCATTTGAGAATGCATACTTTTGCATTATGTTTCGGGACATTTAACAGATAGAGTTCCCATTCAAGGTCTGTTTAGACATCATATTATTCCTGTTAGAACACACCCTGTATTTTAATCTCATTTGAGATTACAGGTTTTTCATTATGTTTCGGGACATTTAACAGATAGTATTCTCATTCCAGGGTCTATTTAGCCATTATTTCAATAGAATAGACCATGTACTTGCAACTCATTTGATAATACTGAATTTTCATTGTGTTTCGGGACAGACACAAATAGTGTTCCATTCGATGGGCTGTTTAGCCATTATTTCCAATAGAAAACAGACCATCTCATTTGACAAGGCATATTTTTGGATTATGTTTCGCGACATTTAACATATAGCATTCCTATTCCAAGGTCTATTTAGCCATCATATCCTTCCTGATAGAACAGACCCTGTATTTGCATCTCATTTGATATTACAGGTTTTTCATTATGTTTCGGGACATGTAACAGATAGCGTTCCCATTCCAGAGTCTATTTAGTCATTATATCAATAAAACAGACCTTGTACTTGCAACTCATTTGACAATATATGTTTTCCATTATGTTTCGGGATATGTCATAAATAGCAATCCCATTCGAGGGTATGTTTAGCCGTTATTCCTAATAGAAAACATACCATCTCATTTGAAAATGCATACTTTTGCATTATGTTTCGGAACATTTAGCAGATAGCGTTCCCATTCAAGATCTGTTTAGACATCATATTATTCCTGTTAGAACACACCCTGTATTTGTATCTCATTTGAGATTACACGTTTTTCATTATGTTTCATGACATGTAACAGATAGCATTCCCATTCCAGGGTCTATTTAGCCATTATTTCAATAGAATAGACCCTGTAATTGCAACTCATTTGATAATACTTATTTTTCACTGTGTTTCGGGACAATCACAGATAGCGTTCCATTCGATGGTCTGTTTAGCCGTTATTCCCAATAGAAAACAGACCATCTCATTTGAGAATGCACACTTTTGCATTATTTTTCGCGACAATTAATAGATAGCGTTCCTATTCCAAGATCTGTTTAGCCATCATATCCTTCCCGATAGATTGCATCTCATTTGAGATTACATGTTTTTTATTATGTTTTGGGACATATAACAGATAGTGTTTCCATACCAGAGTTTATTTAGCCATTATATCAATAGAACGGACCCTGTACTTAGCAACTCATTTGATAATACATGTTTTTCATAATGTTTCGGGACATGTCACAGATAGAGTTCCCATTCGAGGGTCTGTTTAGCCGTTATTCCCAACAGAAAACAGACCATCTCATTTGAGAATGCATACTTTTGCATTATGTTTCGGAAAATTTAACAGATAGCGTTCTCATTCCAAGGTCTGTTTAGACATCATATTATTCCCGTTAGAACAGACCCTGTATTTGCATCTCATTTGAGATTACAGGTTTTTCATTATGTTTCGGACATGTATCAGATAGTGTTCCCATTCCAGGGTCTATTTAGCCATTATTTCAAAAGAATAGACCATGTAATTGCAACTCATTTGATAATACTTATTTTTCATTGTGTTTCGGGACATGTAACAGATAGCGTTCCCATTCGAGGGTCTGTTTAGTCGTTATTCCCAATAGAAAACAGACCATTGCTTTATGTTTCGGGACATTTAACAGATAGTGTTCCCATTCCAAGGTCTATTTAGCCATCATATCATTCCCGATAGAACAGACCATGTATTTGCATCTCATTTGATATTACAGGTTTTTCATTATGTTGGGCCATGTAACAGATAGCGTTCCCATTCCAGGGTCTATTTAGCCATTATTTCAATAGAATAGACCTTGTACTTGCAACTTATTTGATAATACAGATTTTTCATTATGTTTCGGGACATGTCACACATAGCGTTCTATTCGATGGTCTGTTTAGCCATTATTCCCAATACAAAACAGACCATCTCATTTGAGAATGCATATTTTGCATTATTTTTCGCGACAATTAACAGATAGCGTTCCTATTCCAAGATCTGTTTAGCCACCATATCCTTCCCGATAGAACAGACCCTGTATTTGCATCTCATTTGAGATTACAGGTTTTTCATTATGTTTCGGGACATGTAACAGATAGGTTCTCATTCTAAGGTCTATTTAGCAATTATTTCAATAGAACAGACCCTGTACTTGTAACTCATTTGATAATACAGGCTTTTCGTTATGTTTCGGGATATGTCACAGATAGCGTTCTCATTCGAGGGTCTGCTTAGCCATTATTCCCAATAGAAAACAGACCATAACAGAACAGACCCTCTGCATTTATCTCATTTGTGATTATCGACTTTTTTATTACAAATCGGAATATATTAAGACTTCAGAACAGAGTTTTCTAATTGCATCAGATGCACGATAAAGTCCAGAACAAACATATATCAAGCATCTTTTCCAGATTATTATATATAGATAATGTTCCTATTCAAGCAGAAATTCAAACAGAGAAGAACATTTGCAAAGCTCAAAACTTACAGGTTTCCATAGGGTTTCACCCGGAAGCATCCTTCGTTTCAAGTACTTCAATTTTACCATTCAGTAGTTCAACAACAATCATCCACCGGGACAACACCAACCTAAATATGCACAAGACCTTTAATATGTTTCAGTACAAAGATAATAAGTTAGAAATTTCAGAAAAGATTACCATTGTCATAAACTTGCGAGACTTCACAATTGATATGAGGAAACTTCTCAATCACCTAAACATTCAGATTTTCGGCTTTAAAAAAATCACGCCGACATCTACACTCTTATGAACCAAACCAAACCTTAAGCAGAGACTTCACAATTGACATATGTAGAAAGCGGATCAGATATAGCTTCAAGGTCAACTGAAATAACATTCCTCAACAGCTCTCAGGTCCATGGTCACCTAGCAGTAGCAGCAACAACAAAAAAAAAAGAATAACTTCACATCAACAACCATTGAACAAAAAACCTAATGAGTAATCATGTAAGCACAAATGTGTACCTCATTACCACAAACATAAATTCCTCAAGGGGAAATGGACATTGCATTCTCGAGTGAGATTATGCTATTAAGTGTAGCATTCTCTAAAATTTACCAACAAAAATCCCTCCCATGGACGCCGAGGGGGAATGGACGCCGCCACTGCTTGCAACAGCTGGCTTTTTCCCAGTCTAGGGTCACCTAGCCGTAGCAGCGACGCAAAAAAAAAAGCTCAATTTCAACATAAAAAGGAAAAAAGAAACAGTTCAATATAGTGGACATTGCACTCTCGAGTGATTTTATGCAAGTAAGCATAACATTCTCTAAATCTTACACTAAAGTAAATGCTAGGTAACCACTGCGAACTTCAGGATCTACGAAACAGTCAGACAAGCAAGATAGGATAAGGAAAGGAAGTAGCAAACCCAAAGAATGAACCCCCTTAAACCACAGGATGTAATTTGAATGTCACATAGAAAAGTTTCTCAATTTGTTTCAAGATGTAGAGAAATTACACTAGACACAGAGAGAAACTGAGCTAATATTATTTATTTACAGGGAATAAAAGTAAGGTCTTTTTTTTGTTCTCATTCAAGAAATCTATTTCTCTGGGCGTTCAGATCGGCCATCCGAGGATACATGCATACAGAGAGATAGATATATATATTTATAGAGAGAGAGAGAGAGAGAGAGAGAGAGAGAGAGAGAGAGAAATGCATATAGGTTTTGCAGATTTATGACTAAAAGTACTTGCTCCACAGAAAGAAATCAATAGTCGAAAACACAAAATCTGATTCAGCATAAACACACCAAGAAAACTATAAGTAGAGATATAGTGGAATTACCTGAAATCCCTCCCATGAAGCTCATATATACCAAAGAATTTTAACAAAGAACATAACTTGAGCAGTACGAACCCAAAGGTGAAGTGAGATAGCTTCTTCTGTATAATGTGCACCTAGAGGACCGTCATAGGAGATTAATTTGTCCAAGACACCAGGTAGTTGCAACCCGGTTCCCTCGATTAGCCATCCTTCGGCTGCAGAAGAAATACAAGTTGTTGCCGACATGCAAAACCAGGAAACAACAGTAGAGAAGATGAATCGTACAATGGAATGAAACACAGTTAAAGATTCTTACTGTCAAAGCAAGAAATGGCTAACTGGCTTTTGACAAGATCTCTAACATCCAAACCCAAACGAACAGAAAGGTAGTCCTCCAGACCAATCTCACAGATGTGCCACTATAAAGTGAACCACCAAAATGAATCAACTCCTTGCATAATGTACAGAATAATTCCCAAAATGATCTCACCTTCCGTCGCATTGCAATGGCAGCATCCGGAGCACCATTTCGCAAGCCACTTCCAAGGCCCTTCACAATTTCTTCTCTCGGATAATTCAGGGAATGCATTGTTTTGATCAACTCCAAAACATCAGCCGAGTCTCCCAACAGAGTCAAGTGAAAATACGTATTTCATTATCAGCCAGATTAAAAAACTTTATAATTACAGACCTCTGCATAAATGCACTGAATTAATAAAAAAAAATCATGGGTTGATATTTGTTTTCTGGAATCTTATCTCCCAAAATCCTGAGTGTGTCCAAAGACTCCAAAATCATGTTATATTGGTTTTGCATGTCATCTTTATACCGACAAATAATTGTACCTGGATGTTATACTAGAGAACATACCAGCAAAGCCAATTATATATGATTGCAACTAAGATGGTGAACCCGTTTGCATTCTGAAAACAGATTAAGATCAGAAAAACCTCTCTCATCCATAGATGCTCGATTGTAATCAAGTTGCTCCGTGAGCCAGCAACATGATACAGAGGGAAGCATTTAATACATGGGACAATCACACAACACAACTCCAGATGAAAAATATATATGATTTCGAAGAAACTAATGGCACATACCTTCCAGCATTGAAGAAATCCTTAAGCTGATTATGGAACATTTTGAACTGCTCTGCAAAGTCTCCACTATATATTCTCCTGGTTCTTGGTGATTCTTTCTAGCATCGTTTCTGTCGCAATTGGATCTTCAGAGCCAACATTCAGGTGAAGCTTGTTTTGTATTCTATGCTTGATTTCTTGCTGGAATGTAGAAGTTACATGATTATTCGAGCCAAAAGAATCCGTCAAAAAAGGAATAAAAGTCCATCAGATGCCAACCATTGAACAAAAAACCTGATGAGTAATCATGTAAGCACAATTCCGTAACACATTACCATAAACATAAATTCCTCGAGGGGAAATGGATGCCGCTGCTTGCAACAGCTTGCTTTTTTTCCATTTCAGGGTCACCTGGCAAAAGCAGCAACACAAAAAGAATAGCTCAATTTCAACGGAAAAAAAGGAAAAAAAAACAAAGAAACAGTTCATTATAGTGGACATTGCATTCTTGAATGAGTTTATGCTATTAAATGTAGCATTCTCTAAATTTAACCAACAAATATAACATGAATGTCGCCTTTGACCAGTTGGAACAACATACAAACTCCATTCGTCACATGCTAACTCATTACAGAACTAGTACACAAGAATATTGACATTTGTACCACCGTTAACTTCAGGATCTACAAAATGATCATCGGCACTGAAATAACAAGAAACAATCAGACAAGCGAGAAATTACACAAGCACAGAGAGAAACTGAGCTAATTACAGGGGATAAAAGTAAGGTCTTTGTTGTGTTCTCATTAAGAAATCCATGCTCTGGGCATCAAAGGAAAAGAGAGAGAGATGCATATAGTTTTTGCAGATTTATGACTAACCAAGAAAACTATAAGCACAAATATAGTGGAATTACCTGAAATCCCTCACAAGAAGCTCATATATACCAAACAATTTTAACCAACAATATAGTACTTGAGCAGTAGGGGCCCAAAGGCGAAGAGAGATAGCTTCTTCTGTATAATGTGCACCTAGTTGCTGCCAGGATACCAAAAAGTGGGAAACAACAGTAGAGGAGAAGAAGAGTACTACGGAATGAAACACAGTTAAAGATTATAACTGTCAATGTAAGAAACATCTAACTGGACTGGATTTTGACAAGATCTCTGACATCCAAATCCAAAGCAACTTTGAACTGTCTGTAATGCTTGACATGCGGAAACTTCTCAATCACCTAAAAATTCAGATATCCGCTTTAAAAAAATCATACCGACATCTACACTCTAACTAACCAAACCTTAAGCAGAGACTTTCAATTGACATATGTAGGAATCGGACCAGATACAACTTCAAGATCAACTCAAATGAAATTACTCGAGGAGAAATGGATGCCGCTACTTGCAACTGCTTTCAGGTCCCGGGTCACCTAGTAGTAGCAGCAACAACAAAAAAAAAAAGCTGTAAAAGATGGAATAAATGTCCATCACATGTCACCCATTGAACAAAAAACCTAATGAGTAATCGTGTAAGCACAATTCCGTACCTTGTGGACTGCAGCACTCATGCATGGGATAACCACTCTCGGATTGTGCTCCAGATTCACAAAATAGTTATCAATATGGTAGAGTTTCTTGAATTGTAGGAGATCAAGAAACAAAGAGAAGCACCCCTTACCTTCTTCCTTTGCCTGTTTCGTTCCAGTCAAATGTCTACTTTCTCAATGTACGAGAGGAACTCATGAACCGATGTATGTCTCTAAGGAAAGCCTAGACCCCCATTACTGCTGAATATTACCAGAAACTCAAATTGCAAAAGAGAAATAATTAATCAACGATTGACACAGAGATGTGACGAACACTCCAATTCTTCACGCAGTTAGTCAAAATATACCGTACAATGTCTATATTCGCGAAACTTACAAGATATTCAAGCTTTGCAGAATTTGATGCGTGATAGAGCGAGGTTACCTGAGAAACCAGGCAGATTTCTCACTGTGACAAGGCAGAGACAAGAAGAGACGGAGGAGTTCCGCCGTGATCAGCAACTTCTCCTCATTGATGGCGGATTCCTCGCTGTCCCTGAAGTGAAAAGTTAAGATCTGTGTGATGTCAATCGAATCAACGCCGATTGAAACACCGAACCCATCTGAAGCCAATAGAAAAATCCAAAAAACCAAGAAAAGAAAATTCAGAGGCTACACTAAACCATGACTAGCAATCAAAGAAAAAACATAGACCGGAAAATGTTACAGAGCGTCAAAGAAAAACAGGAAAGATGCAGCCTTTTCTACAAAACCGAACGTTCCACGCGTGGAATCAACAAGAAACATGTAAATGTAGAAAAACTAGGGTTTCTGGCATTGGGTTCACTGGGTGGGTAAACGTAGAAATCAGAAGGGAGAAACAGAAACTAATAAATGAGGAACAGATTCGCAAGAAACTCCAAGAACTGGAAAAGATAGCGAAGAAGAAAATCGCCATCGAAAGAGTGAGAGAGAGAGAGAGAGGAGAGACGAATAGGAAGGAGAGTAATGACAAACGAGGGAGCCAGGCCCTCTTATTTAAGGGTCGGCATTTCCGCAAAAAAGGAAAATTTCAGTGTAAGCGTAAGGGCATTTCCGGTATTCCGTTTTAACCCAGTTTTTCCCCATCTAACGGTCAGAAATTAGGCCCATTTGAGTTCAAAAACTGGCCCGATTACATGATTTACATCATATTCGAGACAAGACGAAAAAGAAATTCTTCCAATAATTCAATTAATAGACGATGAATAAAGCCCAAGACGAGAAGGCCCAAAACCGAACAAAAGAAATTTAAACGAGAAGGCCCAAAACAAAACAACAAAGAAATTGAAAGTAATCGAGACAAGAAAATCATTCAGATTCCGCGAACAATGACCATTCTGCATTCTGAAGAACAAATTCATATTCAGTCCACCACTTTTGTCAATCCACTTAGAATAAATTAAATAACAATGTAACATTTAACATAAAGTGAATTTATGGACTTAAGAAGAGCATTAGCAAATACATTCAATTTCCAAAACACAGAGTAAACAGAAGAACAATGAAGCGAGTCAACCTCACCAAGCCCAGGCGTGTCTCTGAGTCCATACTTCATGTCCACATTCCTAGCACCCAAATCATCCTCCATGCTCTGCGCCAAAACCTCGATCGTCTCCTAACCGGGTCAACCGACCCGTTTGCTCTGACGGCTCCGTTCGCCGGAGCACCCGGTCCCGAACCACCATCCGAATCTCTCTGCCTCTTCACCGGCTGATCCTTCCCAGAAGCAGCAGCCACCGCGGCCGGCACCGCCTGAGCCTGTGACGGGGGAGGTAACTTCTCCTTCTTATCTGCTACAGTTTGCAGCAGGGAGGCGGCGTAGGTGGTCCGTCCTGACCCACCTCGAGATACGGCGGATTGTCGGGTTCTCTGGCGCGAGTTGAAGCAGGAAAGGAGACCTGGCCGGAATCGCTGGCATTAGTCTCTCCGGAGAATTTGGGGCGGAATCCGGTTCGTTTGGCCCAAGAAGACGGCGGCATTGAGGAGGAGTCCGGCGCAGGAGGCCAGGGACCCGGTTTGGGTCGGGTTTGCGGGTCGGAACTCGACCTTTTCCCGTCTACTTTCTCGTGGGTTTTCTCAATGGCGCATACTGTAGCAGGTCTGACTCTAGATCTAAGAAGCCTTGCGCCGTTTCTCCGTTCACCGGAAGATTTCTCCTCGCCGGTAAGCACAGCGAAGGGGGAATACGACGGAATTGAGGTTAGGGTTTCTTCAAGAGGCAGAAAAGAGAGTGACCTGCTGGTGACTGGCGAGAGCGCGAGGTTCAATGGAGAAGTCGGTGAGAGAGAGAGGGAAGATATCTTGAAATTCAGAAAGAACATTTTGTTTCAAAATAAATCGAATATAGAAACTTTTACGCCAGCCATAATCGGATGACGTCATAAATCTCTTTTGGATTCTGGATATCTGTCTAACAAGAACAAAATAACTCATCATCTGCATAATTGTTTTTTTTTCCTTATATCATCTCATCAAGTTCATACAATCTTTTTATCAAAAAAAAAATAGTTAATAAAATCATAATTTTATAATTGGAATCAAATATTATATTTATATTTCAACTAAAATTTTCAGACAAAGAAAAAAAGTGGACTTTCAATGACAATTGAACTCAGTGACGCCTACATATGACATCAACTGCAAGTATTTTCCGTGAATATCTAATGAATTGTACTTTAAACATTATAGTTAGATAAATCACATGCCAAAAATATTTATTAAAATCCGTTGTTTTTTTTTTTTGGCAAATCTTATTTAAAATGGTTTAAGCTTTTTTCTAAATAGTATGCGTTGAAAATTATTATTGCAACTTCTAATTAAAACGTATGCGATACACAAAAGTATCGACGTCACCAAAAAAAAGTGTCAATGTGTATATATAAAATAGTCTATATCGTTTGTGAATTGTTCAAACATACATCAAAGCCAATTATATACAACGGTCCAAAATGTGAAATAAATTTCGTTTTTGAAATGTACGTACAAAAGAGAATGATGGCTATGTCTCGTGATATTACAAGTCTAGCCATTTGAGATTCTTAAAAGGTTTTGGTTCAATCAAATAATATATTTTTAATATTGTTTGGATTTAAATCGAAATCTTAATATCTATATATTATATAAATTAACGGATGTTAACTTATAATTTTTTTCAATTTTGATAGTACTAATCAACAATTTGATATTTTCACGAGTTTCTCTCTATTTTTTATAATTTCGACGTACGATTTAATGGCGCGTTAAATTTTACATATAGAAATTATTATTTTAAAGGGATTTTGGAGAAAGGAAGTGGTAAATAAACTTCACCCATTTTTTCTCGATTAAGAAGACATTTGGATGCCCAATAAACCGAAATACTCATAATCTTTTCAATCATAGAATAAATAATATTCAATTTTACAGTTCATCTATTAATATCAGTATGATTAATCTTATAATTATATATACTCATGCATATCATACTAGCTCTATATATGTGTTAAAACAATCACTTCAATCCAAAATTTGGAAATAAGAAAATAAAAAAGTTCCTCCCATTACATTGCATTCGGATAATTCTAAACAGGTGTTTTCATAGTTTATATTATCATATCACTTGTTTATATGTGCATACACTTATATATAATATACAGTACGGATATCAAATGAACATACATAGCATTTTGTTTAAATTGATAATAATATTTTTGAGCAGGCGATTTTATTAGTAATTTAGTGAGGATAAAAAACTCTCTAAAAAAAACAATGAACTCGGTCGGGCCTGGTCATAAAAAGTAATAAGCACGGGAAGACGGGGGTATAATTGGAAATCCATAAAAGGGAGGAAAAAACCCTAATCCCAGCCCTCTTTCTTCGATGTTTAGAATTCCAACACCCCCCTTTCTCTGATCTCCGTCTCCAGCAACAGGTGAGAATCCCTCTTTGTTTGGTTTGCATCATGTCCTGGATTCGAAAAGTCATGGGATTTCCTTAGCTACGTAATTTGGTTTTCTTTGGTCTCTTGTTGTTTACGGATGCTGTTTTCGAAGTAATTTGCCGAACACTAAGGAACTCTTACTGCTGTGATTGGTATTTGAGGTTCTCATCATTGGTAACAGTTCTTGTTGAATGTGTTTGCGTTGTCTCGTTTGGTGCTTCTGCTGTTCCATTTACGTTACTCTCAGTCTGCAACTTCAAGTTTGAGCCAGTTCCTTGTTCTAGGGAGTATAGATTCTACGAACTCATGCTTCTTTGATGTTTTTTTTATAGCACAGGGCAGAATGAGGTTGGAGAAATGCTGGTTTTGCTCTTCGACGATATACCCAGGACATGGTATCCAGTTTGTCCGGAACGATGCCAAGGTAAATGACTTGACCCTTTTAATTTCGATTCCCGTGGCCTTTGACCTTGGACGAGGAAAAAAATGGCGGTTTTGGTTGGCTGGTGGGCGATGTTTGGTCGGAATCTCTGTCTGATGCGTGTGCCAGAAACATTGCTGTGCTTGTGGGTTTAATCTTTAAACCTTTCAACTATGATTATGATGCATGGGATCGGTAACTGATTCATGTATTTAGTCTCTGAACAATTTATGCTTTTGCAGATTTTCCGGTTCTGTAGGTCAAAATGCCACAAGAACTTCAAGATGAAGAGGAACCCTAGAAAAGTGAAGTGGACTAAAGCCTACAGAAGGCTGCATGGAAAGGACATGACACAGGTAGATGATACATTTAACTTTGATCTAAATTGAGCAGTAGAAGGTGCAGAAGGTTTAAGCTTTTACATGGAGTCTCACCCCCATTCTGCCCGCTTCTCTTTGTATCCAAGGATAAAACCTTTGAGTTTGAGAGGAAGAGAAACAGGCCTGAAAGATACGACAGGAATATGACGGAGAACACACTGAAGGCCATCAAGAAAATCGACAAGATTAGAAGCGAAAGAGAAGCCAGACACATCGAGAAGAGGTAACACATATCATGTATCTCTTCGCTCTTATAAGTAACCGCAAACGTTCTCGGAGAACTGCTGATTCTGATGGGCGGTTGATGTAAATTCAGGATGAAACCGAAGAAGCAAAAGGAGCACAAGGAGGCAATCAGGGAGATAGACCAGAGCATATCGCTGATCAAGGCGCCGTCTTCTCTCCTGCAGCAACAGGATCAGACATCACCAAAGCTCAAAGTCCCAGTCTCCAGCCAGCAATCATCCGACCAATACAACGCCATGGAAGAATGATCTTCTGTATTGCTCCGACTCTGGTTCTCGAAAAAGTGCTTTTCTTTCTTTTTTGCTCGTAAGCGAACCGAATAGCTGAGGTTTATCAAGTCAAATGCAGAGTTCGGTTTGCTTTGGAAATTGCGGTACTGACGTGTTATCACTTTCTGGTTGTGCTCAACAAAAGGGCAACCATACATAATGTACTTCACAATAAAACCGGTTGGCCTACCAATATCCACATTTGGTTATCACCCAACCGGAAAGAATCTGGATTACTAGAACCAGGTTGCATTCACTGTTCATCAAACGCAAGAACCTCGACATAAGCCCGAGGCTTCGTTAAGACAAGCACTGCAGGCACAACCTCGACATCCACAGTCGGACAGACTGAAACCCATGGCTTTCTCCTCCCGTAGATGTTTGGGAACCAACCAGACATGAGCAGCACTGACGTCCTTCCCAAGAGTTTTTCAAATTACATCATTTTACTGTCGTGTATTGGCAACAGACAATAGTCTTTCGGCAAATAGAATATAGCATAAAAAAATATGGTGACGTAATAATTAGCCCAAGGTATTTCTAAGCAACCCGAGTTTACTACGAATGTTCAAAGGCTTTGAAAGTTGAGAACTTGAGATCTATGATAAGGGACCAAAGTATAATGAAGCGATTACCGGAATTCCGAGTAAATAGGGAGGGAGATGTTTCGAGTAACGCTCAACATATTTGCATCACATCTAAACCAAAAAATCTCTTGGAGAAATCAGACAAGATTCAAGAACCCACATGTCCTGACTATAAACTAAAAAAGTAAAAAGGATTGATTGACAATGCAAACATGAAAACGACAAACCAAACCGGAGAGCGAACAAGCGCCCTTAGTCGAACAGACTGAATCCCATGTCCTGCAAAAAACACCAACCAACAGAAAAACCCAAGAAACCAACACGATTAAGTTTCAAGATGCCAAGATCAATAAAGATGCAAAGTTCTTCGGGATCTTAAGATCTATTTTCTTCGATAGAGAAACTTACATCATCGGATTCCTCCTTCTCTTCCTTCTTCTCTTCTTTCTTCTCCTCGGCTGCAGGAGCTGCAGCGCCACCACCTCCAGCAGCTGGAGCAGCAGCCACAGCCACGCCACCACCAGAGGGCACTGAAGCCAGCTTCTCCCGACCAGCTGCAATCAGTTCAGTAATGTCCTTGCCTTTGACTTCTTTCAAGAGAAGTTCAATCTCCTCCTCACTAGCCTCGGCACCAACTGTAAGCAAAACAACGAAGCAGAAACTCATAACTAGCTCCTCAAGATGCAAAAAACTCAACACGAGTAAACACTTGGATGAAAATACATATATGAACTCGGTAAATACATGGTGCTACAGCATTAAACATTGAGCTCGAATCAGATTTCCATGAACCCTCGGGTGCTTGTGGGATCCAAACGAAACAAATTAACGTATGCAATATACGAATGTGAACCTCTGAAACCATAAAAGAAATCAACTTTTGAGCCTTTGAAAGAGAAAAACAAAACCATTCGTAACAAAATCTCTCACACTCATATAATTTGTTGTTTATGATACACTTCATTTGCAAAGAAGGACTGCATATAAAGGAACCCATATAAGGAGCTGACAATATCGAATTCCAGATCATCATCATATTCTTCTTCCTCACTCGGATGGAATCCAGACACTTTCAGTTCTACCAGGGTTATTTCCGTGGATAACTCCAAACTTGTAGCAGCTAAAAATTCAGAAAACACATCGCAATCGAAGAAAAGGACAAGAACCTGATCCGAGAATGTCCTTGATGTTTTCAGCTGTAGGGGAGGCTTTGCCACCCAAAACAGCGAGCAAGAACGCGGCGACCACCTTCATTTTCTGACCAAACAGGAGGAAGAAACACAAGTAAGGGAATACAACAAGACAATGGATTCGATTATGAATTCAAGAGCCAGAGAAATGGAGACCAGACACTTACTATTGAAGTTACGGGACCTTAGGCGTTTCGCTCTGGTTCGCAGTTTAGGTTATTTGGTCGCAGACGGAGAAGATGCACAACGTAGCTATATATATATAGATACACGTCTAGGGTTTTGCTAACATGGACGTTTCCACTTGTACCCTCAACCGTCCTTAGATTATCACGGATCAACTTAACGGGCTTTAGGCCCATGGTTCTATTTCGGCCCAATCATCCCTGGGCCTGCTTCTCGGCTCCGGCTGCCCATTAGCGGACTAGTTTTTTATACTGGTAATGGGGCTACCAATCAATGGTACATGAAATGTGGACATCTCGGGGATTCGATTTAAAATAGTTTATTCCATATTATTCGGTTCGGTATTGGTGTCGGTATGGTACAATACGGTTTTATTTAATAAATACTAAATAAAGACCAAAATTATAATAGTTTGAGACGATTTAGGTTTTTTATACTATGGTTAAATACCGTTTCAATTTATTTTAATTTTAATATAAAAAACAAATAAATTAATAAAATGTTAATGAATTTTTATAAAATTGGTGTATAAAATGAATATCGTTAATTTAATATTTTCAAATAGAAAATAAAAAATACCTAAGGTATTTTACGAACCGAAGCGAACAGTTTAGTATCCTTAATTGTATACAGTTCAATTTTTTAAATAATATCTAACCGAACCGAAATATAAGTAATCTGTTTTTTTGGTACGATCGGAACTAAATTCTGGGTTCACCCCGATGAAATGTAACACGTAATAATTACGGAAAGGGACAGTCCAGTTTGCCATTTTCGAGAGAGGGTAGGCTTCCAGAATCTTCGATCACGCCCATGTATTAATATCCCATAAAGTCCCAAACCCCAAATTTTATATTTTTTTTAAATTAATTTTGTTGCGTCGTCTTCTTCATTTTCGTAGTTTATGGGTTTTTCTTTCTCCCTGTGATCTCAGATTCTCTGGATTATTATCTTTTCGTTTTCCTTTCCATTTCCTTTCTCCGGCGATTCTCTCTCTTTCTCTCCCCAAGCACGCCAGATAAGGTATCAACCGCTTCCTATTTTTCTCCGTTTTGGGTTTTTTCCCCATCACATCGTCCAATCTCACAGATCCAGTCGTTCGTCTCAGGTACGGTTTCTATTCCGTTGATCGATCATTGGATTCCTTTTCAATCATTCCATTTCGTTTTGGTTGTGAATTGATTTTTGTTGTAGATCTGTCTGTTTACGATGAGATTTGGTTATGCTTTTGGTGTTCAATCGGCATGAAATTGTGTTCATAAGGTTTTCTAGTTGATTCTCTGTGAATTTCCGGTTGCGTCATGGATTATTGCATATGATTGATTGATTGATTGATTGATTGATTGATTTTCACATCTGTGGATCTATTCTAGGGCTTTCTTGTTGGAATTCGAGCTCTCGAAGGTTAACGGACATGGCGGAAGAGCACAGATTCCAGGCTCCGCGTTTATGCGCCAACAACTGCGGCTTCTTCGGCAGCCCCGCGACGCAAAACCTCTGCTCCAAATGCTTCCGCGACCTCCAGTTTAAACAACAAAACTCATCCTCCGCCAAACACGCCCTCAACCAAACCCTAGCCTCCGCATCCTCCTCCGCCGCGTCGCCGTCGTCCATCTTGGCCATCGACGCGAAGGAGCCCGGGGTCGATCAATCGAAGCCAGAGGAGCCAGCAGCGATGGCTCAGCCTCAGCCGCAGCCTCCGCAGGACCCGAACCGGTGCTCGACTTGCCGGCGGCGCGTGGGGCTAACGGGGTTCAAGTGCAGGTGCGGGTTCGTGTACTGTGGGTCTCATAGGTACCCTGAGCAGCACCATTGCTCCTTCGATTTCAAGGGGATGGGGAAGGAGCAGATCGCCAAGGCCAATCCCATCGTCAAAGCTGAGAAACTGGAAAAGATATGAAATCGAAGCAAGTTATTAAATTTGAGAAGGCTTAGAGAAATGTTCTATGGGGCCTGCTTGTTTCTCGGGAAAATTCCATCTTTAAGGCTCATGAACACGCTTGTAAATTCAACCGACATTTCCATATCTATTATAAGCTTATTTCTATGAACCGCACATCCTGCTTCGATTTCCTGATTTTCTTAGGCCAGAACATATGGAATATAGGCCTTGAAAGTTGAGTTTAGAGTTTTTAGAGGTTTTAAAATCCAAAATATAAAAAAAAACATTATTCTAAGTTTTCACAAAATTATCTACTTGTTTTTAAGTTTTCAAATATTATAAAATTCAAAAGTCAAAAACTAAAAACCAAAATCTAAAAACTAAAACGAAAAACCCAAAATAAAAGTCATCTCCATTCATTCAAAGCCATAACTTCGCAGCTCTGGATTATGTTCCAAAAAAAAAATTACAGAATAAAACAATGGAAATTAGTTAATATAGATTTCAGAAATTACATGCATTAGTACCTTTGATGTGAGTTTCTTTATCGTAATTATATTCATTGTCGAATTATGAATTTTATATTGCATTTAACCCTTTTATATCATCAGGACGACCAACTACGATGATAAATAGAACGCCTGTAACAATCGTATTTTAAGAAAACAAATCCGATTTTATTAATTTGAATTACTATGTCATCTTCTTAATCGTCGTATGGAGAATCAGTTGAAATGCAGCCACCGGTTTTGGACATTGCTGCACTAATTTATCCCTAATCCCACTTTGCCATCAAATAATCCCCAATATATCATTATATAACGATTTGGATTTATCCCTAATGGAGAGCAACCCAATGAAACTGATCAAGGCGGGGATCAATGCATCAGTATATAACCATTGCAATCATCTCAGGAACAATGCTACATTTACATTTCATCAGCTCGCAGCAAGCGCATTTATCAACAAGGTAAAGGATGGTTTCAGAGAATCGAAATCGCAGTCTTCAACAATGCATTTAGTTAGAAATGCAGCAACAGGAACTCAGAGGATCTTTACTCGTATTTGAATTGTACCTCGACGTGAATGTGTTTCCGCATGAGTTGAACCATGGACAATGTGAAAGTTTCCAGCATCCGGCGGTCCTCGGGAAAAAACATTACCGAGATAGCCACGTATATGATCAATTTCCTTAGATTCGGGCATCTTTCTAGTACACCCTCAACCCAGACTGGGAGACCATCGTTCATTAAAGTCCAACCGAGCTCCAACACCGTCACACTCTCCAACTGGGAGGTGGCTTGCAAGCTGTAATGAGTAAATCCCTCTCGCGGATAATAACCTAAAGAGAGATGGGTCAGCTGTGGGAAACCAACGGCTATAGTTTCCAGATCAACAATGCCATCACAAAAGATCACATCCCACAGACGAAGTTTCCGCAGCTTCTGAGCTCTTGAGATCAACGGGTGGAGCTCTGACAGGGCAAATGTGCAGTAATCGACATCAACACTCTCGAGATTTTCAGCAGCCTCCGAGATATCGAGTTGCAAGGGATGAAATTTTTCGAGCTTGAAATGTTTCAACGTTTCATTTCCTACAAGTTTGAGTATGAAATCAGAATCCTTCACATGCAAACGCTCAATGCTGTTCACCTCCAGGATGATCCGAGTCAACACAACGCCTTCAATGTAGATATTCTTTATTGTCGGGATGGTCAATCCAAGTTCAATGTCGCCAAATACCGTGATCCTATGCCAGACTAGTTCCAAAGTCTCGATCTTTGGACATGCGTTGATCAAACAGGTTAAATCCGAATCCGAAATACTGACATGACGAAGTGAAAGAGATTTCAGGCTAGGGAGCTGGAGGTCTGAAACAATACTAAGAACTGGACAATGGACAAGAAGTAAAGTCTCTAAATTTCGCCACCCACAGCAGTTAAGGACATTAATATATGGTGTAGACCGGACATTATAGGACAATCTGCGCAAGGTTTCACTTGTGTGTGTGAGCCAAGCAGTGATAGCTGAAGCAGAAAAACTGTTTTCACGATCATTATCCGTCATAATGGATAGGTCTTGCAAACCTGTGGTCTGGATGATTGTGTCACGTATAAGCCCTTCTAGAAAACCGGTATCAAAGGTCCGATAAAATGGCCAAGCTTCGGGACTGAATGAAAGCCTATGAAGGTGATTCCGATATGCTTCGCGCCAGTTCTTGCATGTTCCAGAAGCTATCACCACATCCCGGGCATCCATAAGCCGTGACAATATGTTTCCAACCACTTCCACAGGAAGATTCTCCATCAAGCAAACACCAACTGCTTCCTATTAAACTGGAACTGCTAGCTTCTTTGGCCAAAAGTTCTGAACTTTCGATCCCCTTCAGCTGCTTAATCTATAGAGAAAAACGCAAAATCAAAATGGAAACACATCAGAATGTAAACAAAATTTCATCACATTGGGAATATTGCAACGATTTCGTTCCAATGAACATGCGAGCTTCAATCAAAAGACATAAAAAGATGCAGGTGGGCAAACCTAAAACGCTAAAAAAGAAAAAAGATCCAAAATCAGTTCAAAAGTCTAATCAAGATCAAACTCAACAAAACAGAGGATGCCCTCTTCATTGAAACGTTGAACATCGACGATTCTGGCAAAAATACGAAGCGAAATAGGAATTCCGTGCACCAAAATAAACGATCGAACTGACAGAGATATTATGTGTGAGAAACAGATGAAAGAAGCAAGATCAAGCATCTGGGCATCGTCAAAATCAATCAGCCTTCCACACGCCGATATATGAACAAAGATCCGAAAAAGAAGGAAAGACTCTGAGTCAGAAATCCGTAGTCCCAAAGAAAAATGGAGAAAACGAGTTGACGAGCCGAACCGTGCAACCTAAACCCTATACAGAAGGCAATTGGGAAAGTAATTGGACACCATGAACAGAGCATAGGATCTCACGATCTTCAGCGAGGAGGAATCGAGTTTACGAGCATTGATCCGTGAACGAAATGGAAAGGGGTACAGAGAGAAACGTAGCGATGGATGACGGGGCTCTTTCTTGGGGGTTTAGAGGGAAAAGGAAGGAGCTTACAACATTTTAACAGTAGAAAATAGAATCTTAAAAAGATTCATTTTTCTCGTGCAATTTTTTTTTGGCAGAACTGTACACAAAATTTGGTTTATTTACATAGCAGATAATTCCAGATAAAAGTTAAAACCATTAAATTATATTAATATATACTTCATAACTAAAAATCTCACATTAAAATTTTTAAAGCTATTGAATGTCTTATGATCGATTTTAGACTTTTTTAAGAAATCCGAAGACTAAACTTGATGTGATTTAATGGAATTTTGATCAAAATACCGATTAAACCCACTGTCATATCATCCGAAAATACTACATCAACAATAAAATGCACACATTTATTTGACATTTTTTCAAGTTTTTATTTTTGGTTTAACAAAGTGCTATATCATGAATTCTTTTAGATTTTCCCTAAATAATATACCCTCAGATATAAACACTATTTTCTAAACTAAATGTAAGCCACTGCAATCATATGATTCATCAAAACTTTGTGAAAAAACAAAACATAAGACAAGATCTCCTTCACTGTTCCAAAGATGTAAACAAAAGCAAACCAGAACTGCTTATAATCACTTCGCCAATGAAGAAAAACTCAGAAGATACGTTGGGGTGGGCCCATGGTGCTCTTTAGATACAAACACCTAACCTGCAAGCAAACATGTTTCAGTAACAAGAAGAAGCAGATAGAGAGAGGGAGAGAGAAGAGGAGAGAGAGAGAGAAGAGAAGAGGTACGTTTTGCCAGTTCTTCTTGAGGAGGGAGACGAGGAAGTTTACGCTCATCTGAACATTCTGGAAGATCTGCTTCTCTTCCATTGCAAGGTTTCCAACAGCAACTCCCATGCATAGAACCTTCTTCAGCTGGAACTTGACCGTGGCTTTCGTCTCGTTCACCTTTGATTCCAATGACTCTTGGTGGGATACAAGAGTTGGGAACTTTCCTGTAACCCCACATAGAAAAAAAGGGAAATTCATTCACATGACGATGATGATGATAAACAGTTTTCAAATCGGTTTCTTGAGGAATATGAAGGAAGCTTGACACAATTTACTCCATAACAATCATTTGCTTCCTTGTTCCTAAGCAAAGTTACTGCATCATGTGAAACGTACCCACATAGCTAATTGTTACAATAAAAATGTAAGTTTGGAGGAGGAAAAACACAGATCTAGCTCAATGGCTCGAGGGAAACTTGCCTGCTTTGTTAAGACCAGGACCAAGAAGACGGGGAATCTGCTTAATGACAGATTCAGAAGCCAAGAAAGCATGATACTTTTTAGCAAGCTTCTTGACGAGCTTCTTGTTCTTGTTGAGTTTCTTCAAGGCCTCAACATCCATGTAGTCCAAACCCATCTTCTCAGCCTGTCAAAATCAAATGGACTAATATGTATCAAACACTCACATCAAGATGGGGAGCAATGATTTTATAAGACAAGTACTAAGCATAAAAAGAAAATTCCCAAGAAGTCGGTGCATATGCATGCACATATACAGATGTGATATGTATCAAAATGACAACGGTTACGGTAACATCAAAGTGAAAATTCACTCACCTCCTCCACATGCTGGGCATCTCCAAGCATGCAAACCTTCATCTTAGGGCGAGGAATGTGAGGAAGCTTGACAGAGCCACTGAAACGCTTGTCCTTTTGAGGATCATAGTTCTTCAGACCAATCTGAAGCTCAATTGTCTCCACAAAGTTACGTTTCTTCTCCTCACATTTCCCTTTGATGATTGAGATGGCTTCTCTCAAAGCATCACTCTGAAGCTTACTGCAGCCAAGAACCCATTTACACAAATCAAATCAAGAAAGAAAAGAGGAAAAAGAAACAAATTTAATCTATTAAACCAATGATGACAGAAAAGGATAACAAAGTATGATCACCGTATTTGGTACTTATAAGATGCAGATCTTCTATTCAGGAATAAGAACATCACTATGCAAGGGCAGATCACATAAACACATCGTCACAACAGTCTTTAGGCCTATCAACTAGCTGAAAACTACAAGCTACACAAACATATCGACTACTAATCTCTAATTAAGCTCGCATTTGGCAAACACATACAACTAGATATACATTTGCGCAAGCGCATTCTGATGACGCAAATCACCAAGAGGAAATACGGAATAGCTGAAAAGGAGAGAGACGCTAAAGGTACCTCATCTTCTGTTTCTATCAATTCAGCCACACCCTATCCTGCAATCGGAAGAAAAAAAACACCCAAAATAATAAAAAAAAAAACTAAACGAAATTATCCAAGAGATACTCATGTTCAGTGGTTAAAGCTAAAAAGCCATCATCTTTTTCTTTTCCATCTACTTCCCGAGAAACAAACAGAAAATCATGTCTAGAGAAGCAGTTGTTGAAATCACAGAGTACCCCAACTAACGAGCAGAGAAGAAACGGATAGGTAGCGGAGAGAGAATCGCACCTGAAAGATGAAGCTGCAGAAACCCTAATTTCCTCGGAAGCGACTAAGATCCTATGGTATAGGAAGCTAACAAGAAAGAGGGAGAGTATTAACCCTAGGGAAATTGTTAATATGGGCCTTCAGAAAGGATTTGGGCTTCACAAGAGCCCATGATAGAGAGAGAAAAAAAGCCTATTTTAGCTTTCATTGCAACACTATTTTTTTTCGTGTAACACATTTATTATCACATTAATCGAGAGATATAAATGGATTATTCTATTTATTTATCATGGCAAGAAAATTCTTTAACATATTAAATCAATGGATTTTACAAAAAAAACATATTAAAAACATGAAAATAAAAACACATGCCTTGAGTGTATTTTTGTGTATTTTAATTTTCAAATTGTTTTAATCACGAGAGAGATGATAGATTAATTAGAAAACTGATCTCACGATTTTCAAATGGGAAAACTATTTAAAACTATATTAAAAACACTTTGAAGATGCGTCTTTTTATTGCAAATAATATCTTAAAATAATAATAGCCGTGGTTATTAACTTATTAGTGTAAGATGGATGGATACCTAATCTTGGCAGGAGTAACGATATTTAAATCATAATTAGATTGAATAATTCATATATGTACGAGTACATATTACATACATGCATACATATATATATAGATGATGAAAAGATATATTAATATATAAATAACAAATCGGGTACTGTTCTACCAATATTGTAGTTAGGCTTAAATTGCACGAGAAAATCATTTTTAAGGGGCGCGTGGCAGGCAGAAATATCCTCCCTCTCAAAAGTCTCTCTCTCTCTCTCTCTCTCTCTCCCCCCGCCACTCTCTCTCTCTCTGACTCCTGTAAGTGCTTCTTCCCTTTGTGTTTGATCTGTCATGTTTCGATGGGATGTGTTTTGGAGTTTTTGTTGATTTCGATCTGTTAGGTTATGTGATTCTTCAACTTGGGTTCTGTTTGTTTATTCTCTTCGAGTTGTTGTGGGCACAAAATCTTCTGTCGCCGTCCGAAAGTGGCTGATTTTGTTCATTGAATGAGCAATCAAATCCCAGCATGGGCCCAGCTATTGTCCCTTGATATAATCACTAAGCCCATCTTCGAGTTCCGTTTTGGTCCTTCCGAGGTTGTCTTTTTCTAACGAGTGTTGTTGTTGTTCTTTGTGTTCTTCCAGAGTTTGGAATTTGTGTCATATTTCGACGTTCAGTTCTTGAGTGAGTGGAAGGGTTTGTTCTGTAGTGTTTCTTCATGATTCGAAGTTCCTCCCATGCTTCCACTTAAAGAGATACAAACACGAAAACGAAAGATTAGTATGGGGAATGAGATATGTTGCTTGTTCAATGTTTCTTATGATCAAAAGTTTGATCCTAGTACTATTTAGTCGAGGTAATGTGATGAGTATACTGTTCTATGATCGAAGATCCAATAAGGGGTCTTCTCGTAACGCTCCGCATATGGAACTCGGGAATAGATTCATCTTTGGTTCTATTTCCCGGTGGTAGATAGTGATGAACATCATATGAAGCTGTGTAGAATTTGGTTCCAATTCTTTTAGAAACATCTTTGTTTGTGGTGCTAGGGTTCACTTTTGTGAAACCAATCCTTGAACGGCGATCTTCATTGGTTTTCGTGATTTCCGGTCCATCCTATAAACATCCGCTGATCTTCATTGGTTATGTACAGTTAGGAACCTGTTCAACATTGTCTTCCACCAGTTTCTTCTATAAACAGTTTTGATAAACTACGTTACCACGGAATCTTAACCACGCTACATGTGGGATGCAGGTGAACAAAAAAATGGCGACTGTGCGAATCTCTTCCCCGAGCATGCCCAAAGCGGTTCTCAGAAACCAACCCGTCAAGCTCATCACTAACACGAGCCACATCGTCTCCCTTGGATCAACCAAGAAAGTCTCCAGATCCTTCGGCTTGAAATCCTCGGCAGGTTCTGGTCCAACAATGTCAGCCACCTACAAGGTCAAGCTGATTGGACCTGAGGGGCAGGAAAACGAGATTGAAGTCCCCGAGGATCAGTACATACTGGATGCAGCAGAGGAGGCAGGAGTCGAGCTGCCCTACTCTTGCAGGGCTGGCGCATGTTCCACCTGTGCCGGGAAGCTAGCGTCAGGCACTGTCGACCAATCTGACGGCTCGTTCCTTGACGACAATCTCATTGAACAAGGTTATGTCCTGACCTGTGTGGCTTATCCCCAATCCGACTGTGTGATCCACACCCACAAGGAAACCGAACTCTTCTGAGTTCGTCTCATCATGGGTTAGATATCCGGGGTTTTTTATTTGAGATCGTTGATTATCGCTGTTCTTGAACAAAAAAAAACTTGTTTGGTGTTTTTAGGGTGATGTTTGTGGTTGTCTCTGTTCTGTACTGCAGCTGTCTCAGGCGTTTTCTTACCAGAATGTCCGTTCAGGAACTGGTCACGAAAAGTGGGCCGGTCTGGGGCCGGTTCATGTTAAACCGGGCATTTTGATTAAGGCGCCATTTTATTTTGGGTTTAGAATCTTTTACTAGCTTTTTTATGGATAAAAAGTAAAATAAAAATATCATAAATGATACGTAAGCTATTATATCATTATATATTTATAAAAAAAAATCTACTTTTTTTTAGTACAGAATCTCGAAACATAAGAGTGAACTCGAGGGATGAGTACACTGCAACAGATGAAAAGTCAGTCACTGAATTTTTCAAAAGAAGGGCATTTGGTAATGGGTGTTTTTACTTAACCTCGGTCATCATGTACTGGGAGACGCTCTGAGTAACATCTTCGAGGAAGGAGACGAAACCCATGGCGCTGGCGAAACCGCTGCTGCCGTTGACGTCCTGTTCTTCTATCAGATAATTCTCGAAAGCTGTTGCATCGTCTTCTCCTCCTCTCATGAACATCAGCCTCGGCGTTATGCTTCTCTCTTTCTTCATCTTGTTTATCGTCTTCCTCAACATACCTGCCCACAATTACATGCTTTTGCTCAAGACATAACCCAACATGTTCAACACACATGTGGTCTAAACCACTCACTTGACTGAGATGAGAATGCTTCTAAACTTGGATAACTTACAGTCCTGAGGCGGAGGGAAAGGGAGGGAGGGGTCAGCTGTGGATGAGTAGAAGACGATCAAAGTGGTATAAGCATCCAGAAAAAATATGGGGCTTCCGCTCGTTATCAGCGCTGCTCTGCTCAACGAGTGCCGTGGATACGCTTGCTTATCCGGCGTTGTGTACGACATCAATGCCGGGTATATTGCACGATGCAGGGAGCTCGGTTCCAAGCCACTGTTGTTGCAACCCCAAAATTCGAAAGAGGAAAAAAAACTATTTAGTCTTTCCCCCGAAGAGGAATCATACAACATATTTCAACGGCTATTATCGTTTACCTGAATAGGCATTGCAGGTAGATTCTGAAATCAGGGTGAACACCTTCTTCATGAAAGCGGAGAAGGGGGTTCCGGAGCAAGGCAAACACTAAGCGAGGCATAGGCTGAAGTTGGGGGCATTGCGAGAACGAGACATCGATCTGAGAAGTCATAGTCGAGCTTCTGTTTTTGTACTGAGCGAGTTTAAAGGCATCGTTGTACTGTGCTGTTAACAGTACTAGCCAATCATGAAGCAATGCCCTCCCTTCTCGTACTCCTTGATCCAGAGAGGCTAAAATTACCTTCAGAAATAAAGAAAATTATAAAATAAACCAATGATTACAAATTTATGATACCAGCCATTTCTAAAGATTAGAAGAATTTTTTTTAAAAAAAACAAAAGGATCTACCTTGTGAACAAGCAATAATAGTACAACTTCAGGATCCACGCTATCATAAAGTTCATTGATGTTGCGGGCAGTTCCGAATTGCACAGTTCTTATCCTTAGTCTTCTTTTAAGTGTGTGGTTACTTCTGCGTGTAACATATACTAAGATCAAAGCCAAAGACCAAAACCAGGCTATCCATATGGATAACCTCGAATTCTTCCCATGTTTCAGTCAAACGAATCCAAGTTATAAGCAATTTGCTGGGGAATTGAGTGAGTTGCACATATACGAAACATATTGACAAATGAAATCATTGCCATGTAATTTATTCATACCTACTCGAAGATACCATTTCTGAGTTTGACTGCTCCATTACTGTGTACTGGAACGCAATCTGCACAACTGGTTGCTCCCCGGAATCTCTGTGGAAGGTAATAAATCATTAAAAGTCCTAACATCTTTGGATTGGAAGTTTTTATATACGAAATCTGTGGGGATTTTGTCAAAATGCTTGCTTATTTTCTATCAGGAAATGTCTAGTCCTATATTTCCTTATTCTAGCTCAAAATATTGGGATTTCAGCATGCAGATACATTTGATTGCATGATGATACAGTAAAAGTATGCAAATGACAATAAACTGATAGAGTGAAAACGAAAAAGAGGGGTGTAACATGTGAACTCACAGTAAAAAGGCTTTTGCAACTTAGTATTAAAAGAATGCAAGAAACACACACACACACACACAAATCTATGAACAATGCCTGGTAAAATACCCATGAGAACATGAAAATACATGGATACCTATGAGCAATTCATATTCACCCAATTATTATAATAAACTATTGCTTACAATTAACGAAAGCCCTTTTACCTGGAAAATCCAGTGTTATTTGCAAAATCGAAGTCATAAGCATATGTTGCATACGAGTCGCAGCAGATTATATGTTGTACATTCGCATACTGCGGATCAGGAAAGAAGTGACCATACTGCAAGAAAAGCTAAAAGTGTTAGACAAAGCAATAAATAGCGTCTTCCGAACTAAACATATTCACTAAAACTACATACAGAGTGGCCAGGTTGGAATTCAGTCGATGCCCTCAATCTCAACACACAATTGAAAGCATATGGCCGGCTAAGCATCCGAAACCTGCAAAAGAATATTATGGAGCATTCCCTCTCAATTAATTTGGCACCATATGAAGAAAACAAAATAACTACGGCTGGACATTATGTAGAAGCCTCTCTGTTTCTACTTTCTACAAGAGAAAAAGACAGAAAAATAATGCCATCTTGGATCCAAGTTTCGTGTAGATAAATAAACTGACGCGAAAGCTTTTACGTCCTAGGTTCTATGTTACTTCAAAAAAAAACGTCCTAAAGTATCAAAACTTACATGTCCTGGGGAAGGGTTGAATCATCAGTGCTTGAATACAAAAATAGTGAGCCGCCACTTTCGATACTAAGGAACTTCAGCGATGCTAGATCTGTGTACTCATTTGTAACTGCAAATATGTCTACGCATACACCTGATTGGACAGCAACAGTAGCCTATAAAGTAGACATCAAAGCTAAGCTCGCCAAATATGATGTAGGAGGTATAACATATTGAAAACACACTTACTAGGTCTTTGTAGAACGGCGTTTGCTCAGGAAGCAGAGCACGATCTGCATCCACCCTTTTACTTGCATACTGTTCTCCATATCTACCTGTGTCCAGCTGTCCACGCCCATAATCAGGAGGACCAGATAGGAAAGCGAACACTCTAGCTGCAGTTATATATGGTCTATCAAAACGCTAACTAATAACAAATGTTTGCTCAACATTATACTATACAAGTTAACATTTGTTCGACAGTATAATGTACAAGCAAGCTATATATTTTATCATTACCTAATGCAAATGTATTCCCGTATTCTGATCCAAGGTAGTTGAAGAGGGCTTCCATTGCTGTTCCGAAACCTCTACCACCCATCAATACACCGTCCAGTCCTTGAGCTGCTCCAGCTGATCTTTCCCATGAAGATATTGGTCTCAGTGTCTCAAGAGCAGCAGCAATACGGTCCTTGCAAGTTTCAACCTGCAGCAGAAACATAGAAAGCAAGACACATTAGTCCTATTGGTTTTCTTGGACATACAATAAAACAACTATAAGAACAGAACAAGGAAACAAAAGACAAAGAATGAAATGATCAAAGACAAACAGCATGCCAAGCATACCGGAGCTAAAAATTGTAACAAGGGCATGACATCCTCAAGTTCTAGAGATAATCTGCTGTCGGCATCTGGGGGGATAAATACATTCTTTACAACAGGTATAGGCCCTTGAACATCATAGAGTCCTATTTTGTGGCTGAATGTAGCAAGTCCGAAAAGCGCTCCTGGACTAAGAGCTGCAAAAGAAAACATAACGAAATTTTACACACAGGACAGAGTCAATACAAAAGTTAAATGAAACCCTGGCTTAAGATTTTAAAGAAATGACCTTCCAAAGCAGCTAGCAATGCACTTTTTGTCAGTTCTAGAAACTCCTCAGAAGCTGCAGAATCAGAAAACGTTACCAGCAAAAAATGAAGAAACGAGCCGTCAACAAGAAAAAATAGAAAATTGGAGAACATAGAGCAGCTTGATGTTAGATGTGCATTGTTCACTTGAGCGCCCATTACAACCTTTAAGCTATCAATCACCGTATACTTCCAGAGACATGAAATCACAAACGAAGTATCCAAACAGTTTGAAGTGAACTCATAGTCAGTATAACCCTATTGTCAAACAACCCAAAACCCAATTATAACTTTAGAAAACAATAAAGCCTCAACTGAGGTCACAACCCAGATAAGTTCAGACCCAAAAAGCTTTGCTAATCAGACAAAACAAATCTCTGATGAGCAATTCACCAAAAATCTAATCTCGCCACTATCTGATAACCATAATTTCCAATGCATCAGAAAGACGAAAACTCACATGAAAGATCAATTGCGGCAACATAAACTGGCCGCGCTTGCGTCATTTCCTCCTCCGATCCATCCACTGGAACCCAACAACAACAAAAATCAACCACAAGTCGCAAACCAATTCAAAATCAAACCTCAGAGGATAACCACAAAGACCATAAATAACACGAACGTACGAGGCAATTCGAGATCTATGAAGGAGGAGATCATCTCGGGGCTAGACTGAGGGAGAGAGTAGCGAGCGATGGCTTCAGAGGAGAGACCATTGAGAGTGCCGCAGAGGGAGCAGTTCCAAGCCCATTGATCGAGTTCGCAGTAGGAATTGAAGTAGGCGTAACAGTTCTCACAGCGAGGGAGCAAGTGGCCGTTGGATCCGTACGCGGGTCCGACGCCGTTCTCGTCCTTCGCCGCGAACGGCGTCACCGTCAGTCCCCACGGTAAACCCGAGGCCTCCTGAGCATCCGCGTCGAACGGAAACCTCGATACCGTCGCTTGAACGGCCATGGCTGCTTCTTTGACTTGATCCCTGTGTAGTTACTAGAGAGTTTAACGGATCCGGGAAAATCGGGTTTTTTACCCAAATAACTCAATTGTATCCATCTATTTCACCTGACACATTTTTTTCCCTAATGAATTACGATATTTATCGTCTCGAAAACAACTTCGTTATTACGACTTCGTAATTAAGCCTAAATATATTTACAATTGATTCTAAAAAAGTGGCAAAAAAATCATGTCTTATTTTTAATTGTATATCAGTTATATGTTAGTCGTAATAAGGTCGCAAAAAATAAAACGAAAATGGTATTTCGGACTTTTCCAACCGAAAAGTGGGTTAAAATTGGAAAAAAAAAAATTTGATGGTGTACATTGAAATAGATGCGATCCAAATAGGTTATTTGGGTGATTTTCCCGGGAAAATCTGAGTGAAAGAGAGGGCGAGGTGCGTAAGTTCGTCCCAGGCGTACGTTAGGAGATTCGTAGATTTTTATAATTGCGTAATGACCCCTAAACTCTTAAGAATCTCTGTAATGTGCCTTCAAAATCTTAAGGGAAAAGCGAAGTCCAATTTTCGTTTCTCTCAAAGTTTTAACCTAGGAATCTTTCAAGTTGTCATGGAAGTAATGTTGGCAACAAAAATCAATAACATGCAATTTTCGCCGACCCTTTTGCGCAATTACATTCTCTAAATCAATTTAATGAAATTTGATTTGGTTCGATTTGATTTGATGGTTATATCGTCCAAACCGATGTCAGATAATACTTTCTTGTGGGTGAATTTACAAGTTTGAGAGGTTGGTGATTTAGATTTGTGTTGTTATCCCATTATAAGAAATTAGTTTTTTTATATCAAAACTAGGTTATGATATTATATTGAATTTTAAAAATAATTTAAATGATTCAAAACAATTTTTTTTTTAAAAAAAAACAGGATTTTTATATAACAACTAATTATATCAAAATAAATCAAACTGGTATAAATATGACACTCATACTCTACTAGAATAAACAAAGATAAATATGATTTCGGTTATCTCAATATAACATAAACTGACAACAAATTTTTTCATGAGAAAAATACGAAATCTGAAATCGGATCTACATAATTAGGCAAGAGACGAAGATTACTCATGGATATCTGAATGAAGAGTAGAATTAAAATTTTACCCTTAAATCTCAGATAAACTAATACAAATTTAAATTACGAACCGAAATCTTTCAAATTTTCGAAAATCGACACATACTAATTCCTAATATATCATGTATATTTTTTAAAATTCGAAATTTAATATTTAAATCTCGATGTTCCAAAATTATTTCAGATACCCAACTAGATGGGATATAAACCCTGATAATATCTCGTGAAACATTAAATATTCGAATTCATATTTAAAATCAGATAATCAAGCCTAGCCCAGCCCACATCTACATCAGGACGAAACTTGTATCCCAATAATAATAATAATATTATTATTAATAATGATAATAATAATAATAATTGGACCAAATAGAAAATTAGACTCACAGACAGTAGGGACTGGGAAAAATCATAGTTTGGTATGCAGAATTAGGGGGTTACTTTCCTAAATATCAATAGATGGAACAAAAACCACAAGACTTTGACTAACAACACTGTTCAATATGACCAGCACTTTTGACTAGAATGATCAAATTCTGAAATTGAAAAAAAAAACTAAATATAAAATATAACAAACAAAAAAAATCAGTAGACGATAATTTAACAAGGTGTAACGGCTACAGATTTGGCGTCGAGATCCATGTGGAATTGAATTTGACGCCCATTCCTGTGATTTTGCCCAAACAGAGTGGCCGACACAAACAAAAATCAAATTCTATTTCTTCGTCGCTGTTTCAGCCAATTCTTACACAGAGGGAACAAAAAAAACAGCTTCGAACTGGAAAAAAAAACCCGAGTTTCGATTTCTGTACAGAGCCCCACCATCAAAACAGATGGAGCAAAAACGTCTACTTACACCCCATACAACATCGTATTTCTTGTGTGTATCTGAACAAAAACAAACAGATCTGTGTTTTACACTAACTCCAAAAGCTTGATCAGATCAGGTGGCGTCGTCGCCCATGAGATCCTGCAGGTCACGTGACTCGGCGAGGCCCAGACGAAGAGATTCCATGATTCGCTCGAAGATGAGCACGTGGCAGGGGATGTGCAGAACGCCCTTCTGCTCGTACCCGTACTCCTGAGCCGACTGGTTCAGTAAGCCCACGAAGACAGGGTGGTTCAG